TAAAAAGGCGAAAAACGCAATTTTGGGAATTTCTTCAAAACTAGGGATTTTTTGATAATAATAGACTCCTGTGAAAAAATGGCCACTGGGAAGCCCCAAACACTTGATTAATTTGAAAAAAATACCTAAATAATTGGTGCATAAAATAGCGAAAGTTTGTTAATTTTGTGAAGCGAACTAGGGAATTTTTGATAAAAACGGAGTGTTGCAAAAGCATGGCCACTAGACAGCCACAACCACTGGAAAAATTTACAAAACATTCCGAAGTAATTTGTGCATAAAAAAACGATAAACTGCATAAAAAACACAATTTTACGGATTTGTTGAAAACTAGGGATTTTGTAATAAAAACTGGCTCTTGCAAATAAATGGACACTGAACACTCGCAATCACTGGGAAAATTTTTAGAAACATTTCTATGTAATTTGTACATAAAAAAAGTGAAAAACTGCATAAAAAACGCAATTTAGCCAATTTCTTGGAAACTATTAATTTTTTGAAAAAATCAGACTCTTGCAAAAAAATGGCCACTGAACAGTCGCAGTCACTGGCAAAATTTGAAAAAAAATCTCAAAATAATATCTACATAAAAAAGTGGAAAACTGCATAAAAAACGGAATTTAACCAATTTCTTGGAAACTAGTAAATTTTTGATAAAAACAGACTCTCGCTAAAAAATGCCCCCGGGCCAGTGTGAATTACTGGTGAAATTTGAAAGAAATCACGAACTAATTTGTGCCCATAAAAAGCGAAAAACTGCCCGAAAAACAAAATTTTGCGAATTTCTTGAAAACTGGGAAATTTGCTTAACTTTGATACCCTTCCTCGACAGCTTTAACCACTGCCAAAACTTCACAAAAAATCCCTGAACAATTTGTGCACAAAAAAGGCTCAAAGCTGCCTGCAACAGCGCCATTTTACGAATACCCTGATCGCTGGGCATTTTTCCAAAAAAAAAACGACTTGCAAAATTGTGGGCTCCCAACTGCCCGAGGCAGGGACAAAATTTGAAGCAAATCCCTAAACAATTTGTACAAAAATTTGGAATTTTGAAGAATTTTCAGCAGTGGAACCGGCCCTGTACGTTGGATCGATAAATAATTTGGCAACAATCGAACATTATTTTAAACCACAGGCGAACACTCGGCCGGTTTATGTTGGAGCAGCCAACCGCGATAATTGTTATCTGGGTCGTGGCTGTTGCCAACAGGCCAAATCGGTCCCGGTTGCTGCGAAATTCCCCATCATCAGGTACCGGATGACCGATGCGATTTTGTTTCTTCAGCTCATTAGCCGGGAACATAGATAAAGACGAGTAGCCGTGAAGACGCGATGCATTTCGTGCACCTGCTGCTTTAGCTGCGATTTATGGTT